TTTTTTTTCTTCTAAATTTGTCAATTTCTAATGATTTTCAAGAGTGCTGGAGAACAACATTTTTTTCTACCATATTTGACGATCGATTTGTAGCACTAATGCACGACAACTACTCTTTTTTTTGTGGTGAGGATGCAAAAAGGAACATTATAGATAGAGGACGAGAACAGAGTATATGGTGAGGAGACGTGAGAAGATTTTGTAGGATTGAATAAACTTTCGCTTTAAAACGTTTTGCTTAGATAAAGGACTGACAAAGGAATTCAAAAATGTCATTTTGTTGTCGAAATCAAAATCAGATTCTAGGTAGATTATCACAGCTAATGCTGTTTGGAACATTTGTATCTTTGTTGACTTCTAACTTTCATCTAGGACCTGTTTATTAAAACTGTGGAAAGTTATTTGAATTTGGCTGTCTTTTTTTACATTTATGACTTTTCCTGAACAGTACTTTTTTTGGGGTAATGATCATTTGGTTAGCAGAGGTTCACCGTCTATAATTTTGTTAATAATTTTTGACGAGGAGAAAAGCATGAACAGATAAGGTAAAAGATTATAAAGCATAGTTCATTGTGTTAAACACAGGTATTTAAATTTGTAGTTGAGAAAATGGTTCAGTGATGATGACGTTGATAATGGTGATAATTATGATCTGAATAATGAAGCATATGGCACTTTAGGGCTGACGAACCGCCAAATCGAATCACTGTGGTTGCTGAACAGTCTGAAACTCCGAACGTCATTCTTCCACCAGCCCAAGTTGAAGAAACTTTACCAGTACCGCAAAGCCCACCACTGCCAGCCTTAGTGAAGTAAGCATAGAGACATTTAACTTTGGAACAAAAGTTTTTGCTTTTTCTTTTTCAATAATTATCGATTTATTTTGGCATTTGTATGAAAAGAAAAGAAGAACAACATTTTTTCATCAATAAATTAGTAGTGGCTAAAGCAGAAACAACAGGAAACAAAGAAATGAACAGTGTGTTTTTTGAAAGTCTAACAGCATTGTTTTAAATGTTGTCGGTGAATTCATGAAAGCAGTTTTTTGCTTTTTTTATCTTTTTTTTTTTTAAAATGTTTAGTTGATTTATATTGGCCAGTTTTTTTGCCTATTATCTAAATAACATTACAAGGCAGAGTTGGAAAGAAGCAGAAGGAAGGATGAGAAAAAAAAGGAAGGGATTCTAGTATATTTTGTGGTAGTAGAGAGGAGGGAAAGAAGAATAATTATTTTTGCATTTTATTTTTTTGGTTTAATGACGAAATAATGAACCTTAAAAATTACAGCAGTGTAGAAAACCAGTCATTTATAATGCATTCAAAAATTTCTCCCACAAATGCAACATGAATTTTATTCAAAAATACGTGGTTGCTGTGTTGCTGCTGCTGTCGTTGTTTTTTTAATTGTATAAAATTTTTGAAGCCATAAACGATTTTAGAGATTTGTTGCAAAACTGCGGTTTACTGTGACAGCTCAGCTTTGTTGAAAAGATTAAGGGTTTCAGTAACGGTTGTTGAAGAAACGAAACTGAAATGGAATGGAATGGAATCTAAAATAAGTTGCAATAACTGCCACGGCAATGCTGTTTCAGGCTCTCTGTTTCAGCTCTCCTAATAACAGCACTGCTCTCCATTCTTGTGCTTTTTTTCTCCTTTTCCTGTCTCTCGAACAACTTGATGGGAAGAATATAGTGATTTTCAAACTACT